CAGACGGGGGCAATCCCTGACCACACTGAAGCACAGTAAGCGCCTTATTACTGCGCCGTACACACAGGAGAGAGGTACTCTGCAGCAAGTACCTTTTGTACGGATAGATGGACGCGGCACGCATTGAAGAACTTTTGATGCTGTACGTGATGTCTGAGAAAGTGGACGATGAAGCGGGCGCAAGCTGGCTAGTTCGGGTGGATGTTTTCCTTGCCATTTGCCAGATCAACCACCACCGGCCTAGCGCCAAGTCATCCCGCTATAATTTGCTTCGCTGGCCTCCTTCACCCGAGGTGACGATGATGTAAAAGTTCGGATATAGGTGCTCCAGCCTCCAAAGTGCCTTCAGCTCCTACCTAGCCTGAGACCAGTTGAGATGAGGGAGGTTTCATGGGCAAAGGAAACCATGTCGCGCAAGAGACGCTGTCGTTTGTCGAGTTTTACGACCCACGGACACGGCGTGTGTCAGGTTGGACCTTTTGCAAGATGGCAAGCCATGGGCATCATGAAAGAAATGTCAAGGTGCGCTAAAGCGCGGCTAACGGAAGGGCGTATGATACGTGCCGCTTCCCACGACTGGATCAAACATTCACAACTAAAACGGTTTGGCCGATCTGGTGCACCGCGCCCCGTGGCTGGGTAAGTCGGAATGGCTTTTTCCCGCTTTTAGTCCGCAAGGGCCGGCTGAGGTTGATTCCTTTTGACCTCTTTGGTATGACGTCGGGCGGGAACTGGGTATTTGGGGGAACGGGACGTGTAGGGACGTTTGCGGGGCTGACTGGCGGGTCATTGATTGACATTAGGTGCGGTGTTTTTGCCAGAGGAGAGACCCTGAATACTGAATAGCGAAGCGCATGGTCCTTTGGGGGAATCCTACGAGAAGGAAAGTCGAGGTGAGGTCTGCTTTGCGTCTTGTCCTCCATCCCCCACTTGAATCAGGCAATCGAATTCTCGTGCTCAAGATTGGTAGAATCGGACAGCAGCCTGTCAGGGGCGCACGGTGACGGTAGGCGTGCAGGGGTGCAATGGCGCGCTTCAACAGGAACTCGTGTAGAATTAATCTGGTGTCTGAAGTCCCGACGGGAGTCTGGAATCTGGCATCAGTCATCCCGAGGCAAGCGGGTCCAGCGTTGGGTTCGAGGCAGGGAAAAAGCTTGGCTTCGAGACATTGCCAGCCTATGATTGGCTTGACTTACGATTCGCTACATTAGGACTAGCGTGATCCGATTCCCCGTCTACAACTGGGTCCACCCGACGTGAGGTGCCGTCCCACGCCACGGTACCTCACCTCAACGACCTTACCTAGGTACCTAGCATCATAATTGAGCTGCGACCTGCCCCACCTTCTTCCGTCCAGTGTCCCCCAGGATACTGGAGCGTGGGTGGTGGGTGCTAGGTCCCAGGATCAGATTGTCGGCCGGTCTCCGTACGATGTTCCCTTCCCCGGCTGGCTGTCCGTCCAAGTCAAGTCAAGTCAACCAGATGAGCTTTTGTTTTCTTGCCAGCCCGGTCCTCTGTTCGGGCGGTGGTCACACTGAATGAGCCTTGAGCGGTGTGTCCTGGAGTTGGTCCATTTTCGCATCGCAGCATCATGACCCTGGCCAACATGTTTCGCATTGTAGACGACGACTCCCTTTGGAAACATGAAGGCAGATGAGGTCGAGCCCAGTCCAGTCCAGATCGAGGCATTCGTGAGCCATCCATCGCCAAATGTTTGGGAGCAGCAGCATGTGCGGGTGGGATCTGCGCCGCCACGCTCCCTCCGGGGCAGTAGATGTTCTCAACGGCGATCAGTCGCCTCACCAGGTGCTCCCAGGTTCCCAACGCGCTACGTGTATAACTATCCATGGTATGTCTGCTTCCTTACTCCCCTTTTTGGAATCATTGAGCGCCCGCTCAACTCCGAGGGCCTGCGGCTCCGTGGGACCTGTCCGGAACGGCACAATAACAGTAAGAAAAGGGGCCGTGTACGCAGACAAGCTCGCGCTTTTCCCAGACGGACTCCCGTCCAGTTCGGATACGGTCCGGAGGGGGCGGGTTGACTCACAGAGACTTCTAGTCACCCACTTCGTACACTCATCTCCATCCGAATATCCCCTCAACGCCCGCAAAGTCTACCCCGTCCCATGCCCATGGTAGGTAAGGTGACAGCTAAGATGTCCTGCGGAAGATGCTCGCCAGCTAATGGAGCAAGGTATGTAAGGTAAGTATGCTACATGAACCCAGTCGCTGGACACAGGAACCGTGTGTCGTTGAAGACGAAACGCGCCCTTTGCTAGGCACGGCAAATGCCTTGGGGGCGTGAAGGTCGTCCTACGTAGCAAGGTAGGTTTGGTGGCTGGACACGGTCGCAGGATGGAGACGTCTTTCTTTGCATTGGTCTATGGCTCCCCATACAGGCAATGCGAGGGACTTTGGGAGCGGCTAGGGTGCTGTGCGGGCTGAGCTAGGTATCTTGGGGAGCAGCGCTCTGGGACCTGTAACTGTCCAGCGCCCCCGAAAGATAGCGAAGGTGCCGTCTCCAACTTTAATGTGGGTAATGAGCGATCGCGCCTCCCAGGCGCCAGCCCAAAGCTTGGCCATTGATGGCGGCGACAGATTGGGAAATGCTGCTACAGCTGGAGCGGGAAACGCACACTCTGGGCGGTGATGAATTATACATGACACACCTAAAAAGAAGGGACGCTGAGAAGGGCGGAGGGCGAAGGGCCACCTAACTGGTATTGGATTGGCCTTGGGTTGAAATGCCAACAGCCCTTTTGCCGTTTATCCTGTGGCGGCGGTAGCGCGACCCTCCATCATCAATCTGGTGTTGCTGGGGAAGGTCGACCGAGTCTACCTTACCTTACCTTACCATAGTACTCTGTGCTGCTGATGGGCAGCCCTACGGAGCGCAATGGCGGCCGCGAGTTTTCTCATGAGCTAGCTAGCTCAAGGCAGAGTACCTCGCAAGTTTTCATTTGATGCCCCGCAGACGCCCCATACCCGAGGTAGGTACCTACGGACATTGTATCCTTGGGTATGTACAAGGGGGTCTTGTGTAACCTGACGCTTCCCAGGGACGCGATCCTTTGGCAAGGGCCTGTCTTTTGGTAAGATAGATGGCACGATGCAGCAGCAGGTTCCAGGGTTTGGCTGCATCTCAAAATACCGATACTACAGTGCAGTCCCTCGTCGGCTTCTGGCCACGAGCCAGACAGACACCAAAATTCGGCAGGTTGCAATTGAATGTAGCTACTGGTGCAAAACTGAAGAGGAGGCCGTCAGGTAGGCAAATTTAGCACACTAAGCTCGGTTTATTCGCGCTCGCTTGGTGTCATGTCCAACAAGGCTCTTCTGCTGTGCTGGCCATGATCCTTCTCATGATGTTGTTAGGTGGTGTGGTGTGGCAGGTATAATTCACGGGAGGCGGCAAGATAAGATGAAGATGGCATCGGATCCGATCCTTGGTCACGCAAGTAATGAGGCAATGGCCAGCAAGACAAAAGCTGGTCCTTGATCGTATTGTCCGGTATAATTGCGCCAAACCTTTCTGCGCTTCTCGTACAAGTCGTCCAGTCAAGTCAAGCTGGTCTTGAGCCCCCGTCGTGGAGCGATGGTGGTGGAGAACAGAAGGAGACGGGACCCCTACCCCGACCTCAACCTTGGACCCTCCTTCCCCCGCCCACGGTGCAGCGACCTGGACGCAGGAGATGGAAGGCTAGTCCCCTGTCTCCGGCCAAGTCCCAGTCACCATCCATGTACGAACAGGACTAAGCTACCTATGTATGTACCCACGTACCTCCGTAGGTATAGGAAGGCATGGCGTGGACCGTGGTTGGTGTGGTTGAACCCCGACAGCCAGATTGAGATGTCGACTCCACCAGGCTGGACGAAAGGCCCCCGGTACGTACCCCCACCGTCTCTTTCCCGACCTCGACCCAGACCCCTGCAATACTGGACTGCAGCAGGTGCACCATCGCAGTGCACCTGTTCTCGCGCGTTGCCCTCCACCACTCACTCCACCCCGTATCTCGACGGTGCTGCGCGTATGTTCGCACTTCTTGCTTCGCTGCAGCCTGGCCGCCAGCGAAACAACAGAACAACCTCGGATACGTACCCTCACCTCCTCGCTCCGTTGACTTGGATTTCTGATGTGCCTCCCGTCCACTGCTAGGAACGTGCTTCTCTTTCTCTGCCCTACGGCGATTGTCACCCCCCCTCCTCCCATCCTATCACCCCCCCTCCCAAATTTCATCTGTTCACTTCAGTCTTCTCTACTTGGTATCTATTCCCATACCTACCTAAGGTACTGCGTATCCTGCGGACGCCTTGGGTAGGAGATACCCTGCCTCTGCCGGACAGCACCTACATATTCTGCTGTGCCTTACACAACCTTCCACAGCCCACCCCTCCCTCCTTCATCCTTCCCACAGCCTACCGGCAGTGGTACCCTTCTGCCTGTCCCTCTGCCTCGAGCTCTCGACACAGACAGCTCCCAGGTTGACGCCTTGCATGGATAGGGACTTGTACCAGGCGCACCAGAACAGACCGGACTACAACCAGGTTACGGCTGCGGGTAGGTATGAGTGCGGGTGCGGGTGCGGATGCGTATTCGCACCCCCCACCCTGGGTACGCCTACCTACCTACACTACCTACCCACTACGAACGAATGCCTACCACGCCCGCCAGCCCTGTCTCTTGCTGCCGCTGTCATTGCTCCAGCTCGTCGGTCACTCTCCTTGGGCTGGACTGGAAGTCAAGTGAAGCCTTGGGCCGGTTTTATTTAATAGCTTCCCTTCCTCTCCTTCGTCTATCGTGTTTTGACCCAACAGCTCGTCTTTCAACCATACATCTTCACTCCTCCATATCGACACTTGTTTGGAAACTCTTCCATTCAGCCTCCTTCATACAACTGGCCTTCATACAACTGGTTGCTTGCTGGCTGTCTTCTACATCGCATATCCCTTCATTGTTGCAACAACCTCTACCTAGCCAAACCCCGAGAGTATCGCCCGCCATGTCCATGTTCACCATGTCTCAACATCAATACACCTACCCGGCTGCTGCCCCGGCACCCAGGGCCTATTCAGGTCACGGCACAAGCAGCGCATTCAGTAGCTCTGCCAATCCGGACGAGGACTGGACCAAGATCTCCGATCTCGCTGAACGCCGGCGGATCCAGAATCGCATCGCTCAGCGCAACTATCGTACGTCAACCTCATGACATACATGCCGTTCCCTACTTGATCAGACTTTCCTCCTAACAAAGATTCATAGGCAAGAAGCTCAAGAGACGCCTCGAGGACCTCGAGAGACGCGCAGGACAGGAAGGCCCGACCGTCACCACTGAGAAGCAAACGCAGCCAAAGAGTGCCAAGCGCCAGTCGCAATCCTCCACCAAGACGCAAAAGACGCCGGTTCCAACCAAGACCATGAACCAGGGCCAATTTACGCCCCCAATGCACACCGATGACGAGCTTCTCTTCGCGCAAACTTACGAGGACGGTCGTGAAAGATCAAACACTCCTCCTCTTTTCGCCTATTCGACTTACCCTCCCCCTGAAGAGATGCTCCTGGCTCCTTCGTACACAACTCAGCCTTACCCCATGACAACTGCAGAGGTCTACCCGAGTTACCTGGCCGCAGCGGTGCCGGTAACGCTACCCCCAATGAACCATTTTAACGATGCCATCAAGCGCGAATCCTACTCCAGCGACGATGGCCTCTCCCCCTACGTGAACTACGGCTATATTTCCGGCGTCGACATGAATGCAACTGGCTCCTACGACCCCTCGAACCCTCATGTGAGTTATACGCGGCATCTACCTCCCCGCGATCCACAGTGCTGATGGGTTGATGAGCAGACTCCTCCGCTCTCTCATTCTTTCGACCACTCGGCCAATTGTTCTGACGCTGGCTATGAGTACCCTACTACACCTTTGTCCATGCCAGGATCTCCAGGCATGATTCAACAATAAAATGGTACCTGGCGGAGGGTGTTGGCGAGGAAGAGGGGGGAAAAAAGAACAACCAAGTTGCAGCGGGACGCGACTCATCTTTCGATAGATCCCGCCGAGCGAGCTATATTGGAATTTACTTGACATATGCAGGTTGGCTTGGGCCAGGAGTTCGGGAGCATTTAGGGTTGCATGCAATGGTCGAAGCGCTCGACCTTACGCGGAGATGACGACTGGGAACGGGCGGCGGCGTTTCAATTTGGCTGGGTACTCTGTTGTGTTGTGGATAGTTTAAAAACATCAGCGACAATCCAAACAAGAAAGATTGTCACAAGAGTCAGCGTGTCAAACAAAATGTGCCAAATTAAAGTCAACCAATATCAACCCCCCCCCCTCCTTCTCTCACTCTCTCTCTCACCACATGATGATTTACGCCTGCTCAAAGTGCGCGTGTTGGTGTGCCCGGACTGCCTTAGGCCCTCTGCTTTGGCGTGGGTAGCAAGATGGATGAAGATGTATAATGGAAGGGCGTCAAAGACAAGGACGTCCCCTCCCCACAGAAGGTAATCTTTCCATGTTCGTCCGGGGCGATGCCACCGGAGTTAAACGACAAAAGTCTCGCCGTAGTCTCGCCCGGAATAAGGATTTCCAAAGTCCATGCTGCTTAACTCCTAGGCCGACACCATTCCAGGGCACCTGAGCCACCACATTGGCTGACAAAGCACGCCGGGCAAAGAAACAGGCGGCGCTGGGTGCTTGCACCGCGCAAAGCGACAACTTTGCGCCGTCTCTGGAGGTTCCACAGGCATTGAAACAAAATGCTTCCCACTCACACTTAATGACAGACTTGCTGCCGCAACTTGGGTCCCTGTATAGACCACAGGCGAGGCGATGAAGGCTTGGCTTGGCGCGTCACTGACGAGACCGTACCCGGCTCTGCCCCTTTCTGCTTCCCCTCAATTTGTACCTTTTCCCCTCGAAGACACCAGCACTTTTTGCTCACAGCCTTGGCTTGGCTTGGGAATGACAAAGCCTCAACATGGCGAGGGGTCTGGATGGAGCGTCGACTTTATTCTGCTCGGATAGAGACGAACAGCGCAACAGCATAGGTGACGGCACAACCAGCATAGTTTGGGCTGAGAAGGCTTGATGGTGGGAAAGTACATGCTGGGTGATGGGTGGGATGGGATGGGCACGGGTGGAGAGCGCCGGGTGCGGCACACTAGCTCTATGTTCAGTGACCACTTCAGCCATGCCTGGGCGCAAACAAATTGGGGTACGAGATATCGAGTTGACCATGAGACGAAATGGTACTCATGACTTTGAATGGCCACAGAAACCCATACATTTGGCGCGGAGGGGTGAGTCTCCCGGGATATGACCATGTTGCTTGATGTTCGGCATCGACATGCTGCCTCTGCCTCGTCCATGCAGACCCGGTTGTTCTTCAGGTTACGTGCCGCGTTTTTGGTCCAGCACTCAGGGTTGCAGGTGGGCACAGTCGGGCGTCCTCGTCAAGAAGGCTGGTTGAACTGTAGCTTGCAGGGTTGATTAACAAATGACATGATGTGATGGGGCACTCGGCTGCGCGGTCCTTTCGTTCGGTAAAGTAATAGGCATCCATGTACGACAAGGCGATGGAGACGTGCGCTTCAGGTAAAAGCCAGCACACTACACATATGCATACACACATTCCTCTCGGCCCCTTTCTCCCGGTCTGTCTTCGTTCAACCTATGTGCGTGCATACGAGGCAGCAATCTTTGCAGCTACAAATCGCTTGTCAACCCTGGCTGCACCCACATCTGCGTCTGCTGCTCAATCAGGGAAGGATACCATCGTTACACAAGAGTTCTACCTCCTCCTACCCCGGCGGATTCTGTCAGTTGTATGCTGGCCCGGGTTGCAAGCCCGACTTCGACGTAACACAAGGAGCGCTCCTTGTTGGATGTCGATTGACAGACGTTGGGAAACTCGCCGGAAAGTCACCGGGGGCGCCAGTTAGCATAGGACACCAACACGTTACAAATGGACGCCACGGGGGCACTTGGCAAGGGAGGGGGAGGTGGAGGACATACCATAGGACAGGGGGAGGGCACCGTGCAGTGGCCGTAGAAATTTTGGACATCAAGGTACCTTACCTGCCATGCTCTGAGGTAGGTGGTATCTTAGGTAGGTAAGGTAGCCTAGGTAGGTAGATAGGTAGGTACTTTACCTTAGGAACCTAGGCTACTTACCCCGTAGGTGGAAGGGCACCTACCTAATCAGGAGGGGGGCCACGGAGAAAACGGGGGCGTGCTTCCTGGAAGGCTGAGAGGCACCTAGACTCCGGCTGTTGCCGGAGTTAAGAACACTCAGTCAGTGGTGGCCTCAGTGGCTAGACAACTCGACCACATTCTCATCGTCACCATCTCAAGAAGGCACAAGGTCGTCATGTGTAAATTGGGTACTCTGGACTGAATACTCTGCTTTAGCTCCGGTGATGCGACGGTCAAGACCGACCAACATAGTCCTCCCGCCCTCGGAACTGAGGCAGGCGGGAGCAGGAAATACTGATGCAAAGTACCCCTTTGCGAAGCTGTGTTGGACGCCTTGTCTGCTTTTATCTTGTTGACAAGATCGAGGCTCCCTGGTTGCTAACGTCCGGTGCAGACAGTGCTTTTGTTTTGTTCCCTATTCTGTGTAGTTTACTCTATCGCGTTATTCGAACCGTATGCGCATTGCAAGGCTCAAAAACGCAACAGAGCTGCATGCGGGCAATGAGGACTCTTCGTCGTGTCGTGGCCGCCAGCAATGCCTGCCTCATGGTCGATGCTGTTTCATTCCGTCCATCCTATCTCGGCTCTCACAACACAACCGGGCTGTTCGCAAATCCTATTGAGGTTTTAAGTTTCTGAAGCTAATTTCATCTTTGAGCGAGGCCGGAGCCGATGCGGCATTGCTTGGCACAGACGCTGGACCGGCCTACCCAGACGCACGCCCGCCCCCATTAAACTCGACTTCACGCGCTAAAACATAACGCGCAAGTCCCCTAGTTACTCTTTCAGCCCGCTTATTACCTAAGGTATGCACTACAAACTTATATCCGCCGTGATGGATCTTCCCAGCTGAGGTGTCTGAGGCCCAGCTGACGTCGGTCACCTTGCGCCACAAGCGATCAGTCATCATAGCGTCGGGCAGGGCAGGAAAGAGGATTCACTATTTACGAGTCGCTATCGAGTCCGGAATAGAAAACCTAGAACAACGCAACCACGCAACCTGCATCGCACCACTCCGTACCGCATTTCCTGCTATACAAAACCCAAACGAACTTGGTATGCTTCCTGCGTCAAGATCCTTCTTCGTAGTCAAGATCGGTCACGCTGGAGAATGCTCGTCCACAAGCACCTCGCTTTGCGTTGCGCTTTGTGTCTGAGATGACCATTAGCCGTTGTGGATCTGTTCCGGCCGGGATGTTCAAGAGTACCAAGGTATTGCCGTACAAGATTAGCTCGTGATGCTTACGTAGGAGGTTGTATGTTATCTGCACCTTTGCGCGGCCTCTCTCAATAAGGACCACAACGACTCAAGAGTCACATTCTCAGACATTGGCCATGACACAGGCAGATCGGCGCCTAATGCGAACCAGTTCTTTGCAGAACACAGCCACTTGTCAAAAGTCCAAATTCCTTTCCTTCCACATTGGCCTTCGCATACTGGAGTTACGCAAAGAAGTGACGATTTTCGATCTAGGGAAGCTGCAACACCATTTTGGTGGAAACCAAAATGCTTCGAAACTCGGCCACGAAGCCACGACGAGTGGTTTTTTTTGTACTCATCATCTCACCGTTTGCGCGCCCGGCTGGGGAATATAGCCTGGTCGATCACTTGATGTTTCAGTACCTAAGTTATGGTCTGCAAATTACCTTAGGTAATCATTGCACTGTGCCACATGCAAGGCAGCTTCTACAGGGTACCTGCACTTACCTTTCTTGGTTGATGATGAAATTAGCCCAGGCTCCGCTTGGCTTACGTTTTCCCACCATCTGCAAGCAAGCTTGCAAGTCTCCAACGCAACATCCTCAATCCCTCAAGGAACTGTTTGGGTTTACGTCGAGGCATAGGCAATTGAATGCGGCCCAGGAAGCTCCCCTACTTCCCAATAATCCTTGTCGAACCGCAGACACCCCAAAGCGCCCAAACACTTTCTTGCCAATCGCCGTTCTTGCAACCCGCCGAGTACAATCCGCATATACCTCCCGTTTACCAGCTGAACAACCGCCGGCTCTACCCAGTTCAGAGCGACCGCAATGGCACCGGACTGGAAGTTGCTATACCTCTATGGAGGCGACAGGTTGGTTTTCTAGCCCAGAGTCGGTGCGGGGACCGTTGCGTTGAGAAACTCGCACCGCTCCCCAACCCCTTCTCATGATTCACTCATCTCTTGAAATTGCGGAACACATGAGTCTGATTGACCAATATCATCAGTCCCTGGGATTCCAGTCTCTGGACTGATTCTGACGACCGAGTCCGCGGCGGCAAGAGCCAGTCTCACATGCACTGTGAATCGCCGGAGAAAGCTCGATTTTTTGGGCACCTAGACATCACCACCCTCGGAGCAGCTGGATTCGCGTCTCAGAGGACTCTTGGTACACTCCATCTGGATTTGAGGCAGTATGATGGTTTCGTCATCAGAATTCTCGAGAGCGACTCCAAAAAGTACACTCTTACTGTCAAAGACGAGATTCTGCCTCCCAGGGACGATGGCCGCGACCAGAGCACAATCAGCTGGGAGTACGACTTCGTCTGTGATCCTGGCGACGTGAAAATCCTCTGGAGCGACTTCAAACCCACATACAGGGGCAAACCCAAGCCTGACGCCAAGCCGCTGGACCTATCCAATATCAAGAGAATCAGTTTCATGATGCGAAGGTAATGCAATACCCATCATTCTATCGCCTGCCGCCAAACCCCATTTTTGCTGATAAAGTGTCAGCTTTTTTGGAGAGCAGGAGGGGGATTTCACCCTGACTGTTGCACATCTCGCCGCCATTAGCAACAGACCCACGTCACCAGGATCAGAGCTATCATTCGAAAAGGACTATGCCGCCGTGCGTGCTGCTGCGCGTCCTCCCGGGGCCCAGTCGTCGTGGCTTAGCTGGATTTGTGGATGGGGTAAATGACATCCGGTAATCATGGACTCACTATCCGGCGTCAGTCGCGGGATGCTTCAAGGAGCATACAACCACAGCCCGTGGTGCATTCGCATGGATTTGCCGGCATTTTGTTAAAGCGCTATGGCTGTCCATCTTCCTGTTCTAAAGCTACCTTGATGAGCGTTTCATACAATCTGACCTATAACCTTGATCAAATCGCCCGTCACACCCATAGCCGTCACATCACCGCCAGCGCCGGCACCCTGGATAATCAGTGGGTTGCTACCGTACCTCTCCGTGTAAAAGCTGATGATGTTGTCGCTGCCCTTAAGCGCGGCTATGGGATGAGATGCATCGAACTGCTCCAGACCAACCTTGACCTGCTTGGAAGCAACATCAATGCTGCCTACGAAGCGCACAACCTTGCCTTGGCTCTCCGCGGCTGCCTTGGTCTCCTCCATCTGGCTGTCAAATGCTGGAAGCTTCTGCAAGAACTCGTCACCAGTCGAGCACGACTCGAGTTCCTTGGGGATCAGACTCTCAACGGGGAACGAAGTCGGGGATTCCACTGGCAGTCCAGCCAGTCTTGCAAGAATGGTGAGCTTCCGGGCGACATCGAGTCCATTAAGATCGTCTCTCGGATCCGGCTCCGTGTAGCCTAGCTGCTTCGCCTTGGCCACCTCGGCGGACCACTTGCCCCCGGAGCCTGATACAGGAGCAAAAGAGTTGAACAGGAAGGACATGGTGCCGCTGAAGACGCCCTCAATCTTCGTAACACGGTCACCAGTCTCCACCAGATCTTTCAGAGTCGAAATGACGGGCAGGCCCGCACCGACAGATGACTCGTGGTAGACTTTGGCGCCAGATGTCAACGCTGCGGAGAAAATGTCTTGCCACAGCTTGTAGGAGCCCGAGAACGCCTTCTTGTTGGGGGTGACAACGCTGATGCCACGACTAAGGAAGACCGGATAAGCTTCGGCGACATCTTGGGAACTAGTGTTGTCGACAAGGACGACCTTGGCGGGAGCGGCAGCCAGATACTCGGCGAGCTGGGAAAGAGGGGGCGGAGCCTGCGAAGCGGCGGAGAGTGTCTCGGTGACGCCAGTGATGGGGATGGCAGAGTAGCTGTGGTCGTACAGAGCCTTTTTGCTGGTTGAAATATAGCATAGGCTGAGCTTTGGGGAGGGTCGTCTCGCAGCTAGCGCCTCGAGCTGGGAGAGGAAGCACTTTCCAACCCCGCCAGCGCCTACATCGCATGCCAAGCAACGTTTAGATGGTGTTCTTTTCCATAGTGGTGTGGAGGGATGCTCGTACCGATAATGGCAATGAATATTTGCTTGGGAGAAGACATTGCTCGATTTCAAGGACTAATCAGTTATCTGAACGCGATGTGAACTGGGCCGTTTGCCTGTGGTTTCGGGGTTGAGTGCATCAGAGGGGTTTAGGAGGAGGGCAGGACGATTAATTTCTCTGCACCTCCGACTGCGGGGCACCAGTGGAGCACCCAATATGGGGCTTCTCGGGGTACACTAAGGTACCTTATCTTATCACTCGGTGAGCATCTGCACCGAAAGTCCTGGCAACCGGAACCCCGTGCATTCCAGCATCGGAGCTTGGGCCTTTCTCGTCCCGGCCCTGTCTAGGTCATGTCGTCATTCAATACCTAAGGTAACATCCCATCCCCCGGCCGAATGCATCTCTACAACTATGCACGGCTGATACAAGACTGCCCGCAACCTCGCTGCTGCCGACAGTTGAGTTACCATCGTTTCTCACACGACATCCTGGCCCTCTCCGGATTATTCCCACTGAAGAACGATAGTCGCCATGACCCTGCTACAATCGCTCCTCCATCTCACCAACTTCAAAAATCCCTTGCTACGGACTTTGGTTCCCTCAGTCTCCGCTGCATACGCGATCCAATTTGCTTTCGCGATCCCCTCCATTCTCGCACAGAATGAACGCTTTTATGACTTTTCCGGCTCCCTGACGTTTCTGTCCGTAACCGCTCTCAGCCTGTATCTGCCCTCCTTGCGCATCGCATCCTCGTCTACGGCAGCCAATGTGTCTACTCCGTTGCCGAGTCTTCTCGCGCCGTTCACCAACCCTGGTAGACTCGGAGCTCTGAACTGGCGACAGGTTGCTATGAGCGGTGCCGTTGTGTTTTGGGCTGTTCGACGTAAGTTTTCACATACCTTCTGTGGTCTGAGGTGAGGTTTCTAATTTAACCGTGGCATCCGTAGTGGGATCATACCTATTCCAACGTATTCTGCAAGACGGCAAGGACTCTCGCTTCGACGAAATCAAGAAATCGCCCGCAAAATTTGCTGGTGCTTTCTTTGCTCAAGCCACCTGGGTCTCCTTGTGCCTACTTCCTGTCATAGCTCTCAACTCCGTCCCCGCAGCTTCGTTCGCTGCGTTGCCACCCGTTAAGATATCTGACGTTGCCGGCATTCTCGTCTACGTTGCCGGTTTCGCGTTCGAAATCACAGCTGACCGGCAAAAGAGCAAGTGGATGCGAGAAAAGAGGGACAAGCTTCATGACGAGCAATTCATGACCCGCGGCCTTTGGACTGTTAGGTACGTTTTGAGGTGCGCAATTAGCATTGCCATCTCTGCTCCCTTGAAGTAGTAGCACCCGTTGAAAAGCGAAACACGGCATGACTAACAAAACATCAGCCAATATCCGAATTATTTTGGAGAAATTTCTCTCTGGACTGGCATTGCGACTGCCGCCGCCGGGATTATCGTATCGAGGCCTATTCAAGCCAGTCTAGGCCTTTACGGCGGCATTACTGGGCCTCTATTAGCAACTGCAATGTCGTTTGCGAGTCCGGCATTTGTCGCCCTGCTCCTGACAAAGGTTTCGGGCATCCCCCTGAGCGAGAAGAAATACGACAAGCGTTATGGAGATCGCAAGGACTACCAGGAATGGAAGAAGAACACCCCGAAGCTGATTCCCAAAGTATTCTAGCCCAGGACATTATGATGTTGAGAAACTGGTATCACAAATCGGAGAATTGTTTCTTTTCAATATTGGAGTTTCCAATCTGACCAATGCATGCTCTGGTCCGGAATGGACTAACCCGCCTAGATGAGGTAGCTCACGTTGCGCCCGATCGCCCCTCTTTTCCCTCTGCCCACCATTCGTCCACACACACAACCAATCTGGTGCCCAAAGCGCCGCCAATGGGAATCAATCATCAATCAAAAAGAAGAAGAAAATGTCATATCGCATCCATTAAATGTCATGAAAATTGGTATCGTTGGCTGGGGTGAGACAAATGCGAGTTCCAACCAATTACTGGTGGAACTTCTTCACCTTCTCAACCTCATCAAAGCTGCCCATGAAGATACCGGCTCGGTCATGAATGTGTTCAGGCACGACCTCAAGCATTCTCCTCATCTTGCTGTCGACCGCTTGACCACCGGCTGCGAGAACGTTTAGAAGTGAATCTGGGCAGGGTATAGAGATACTCAGACTTACCATTCTCAAATACCAATGCCATAGGTGCGCATTCGTAAAGAATACGAAGTTTGCCTTTAGGGCTCTTCTTGTCGGCCGGGTACGCAAATACGCCTCCATAGAGCAGAGTACGGTAGGCATCAGCCACCATAGAGCCGATGTACCGAGCGCTGTACGGTTTGCCGTTTTCTTGGGGGGTCTTCAATGAGTTGAAGTAGTTGTTTGTGCCATCCTCCCAGTATAGCGAGTTACCCTCATTCACAGAGTAGATGGCGCGGGACTTGGGCAGTCTCATGTCGGGATGGGTAAGAATGAATTCGCCGACACCATTGTCGAGCGTGAAACCATTCACGGTGCCGCCCCTCATAGTAATGACGAGTTGGGCCGACGCGCCGTACATGGTGAAGCCAGCAGCCAGGAGCTCAGTGCCAGGCTTCAGGATGTCTTCCTTGGTGCCAGTCGAACCCTCTTGTAATTTGTGGATACCAAAAATGGTGCCAACGGATACACCGGCATCCAGGTTAGAGGAGCCGTCAATGGGATCGCATGCGACGGCGTAACGGGCGCCCGTACTGTCGTTGAAGAAGATAACGTCCTCCTCCTCTTCTGAGACCAGCAGAGCGCACTTGCCGGACGATCTCATCGCCTCAATGAAGAGATCGTTTGAGATGACATCAAGCTTCTTTTGATCGTCACCAGTGGTGTTGGAAGAACCGGCCAGACCAGTCAGGTTAACTAGGGTAGCTCGACGGATGTAGTAGGCAATCGACTTGAAGGAAAACTGCAGAGCATGGCACAGAAGTCTGTACGCATGGTCAGAAAACAAACAAAACGGAGCAAATAGGAGTTGAAGGCCTACGTGAAATCTCCGGTGGCTTCCTTATGTTTGGCTTGCTCTTCCGTGAGGAAGCGAGTCAGCGTAACGATGTTGGTGTTGATCTTTTCGGTTTCTTGGCCGCCGCCGTTCGTTGTGTAGGCCGACATGATGAATTAGGTGGCTGTGACTGGACGCGTCAGTTCTTTGGTCAAGACTGTGAGCTTGCGGGAGTTGACATGAAGAAAAGATAGAAAGGAGAGAAGTGATTTTAGTGGTAACTGAGGCTTATGAAGGCGGTGGCCCACGACGGACATACGGACATTCCAAAGAACGACGAGCGCACGGTATGGAGGGGTCGGGTTTGAGCTGAAGGACAATACGTACGGTAGAGTATGGCGAGTGCGGTGCGGGAAGAGAGTGTGGTACAGGAGGCCAGACGTCAGAACGTAGATGAAGGTGACGAAATAGAGGAGATGCGAAGGAAAAAGTGAGGTGGCAATTGGAGGAAATGGACCGTGTTTGTAAGTCCGGGTCTGGAACAAAACATCAGACAGCGTTGCCGGAAGCTCTCGTCTTCAGACCTCAGTGCCCCTCAATTCGGCATACGGCTATCGCAGGGCTACGGTGCTACGTCCTATTATCGCCTACGATCCCGAGTCACCACGACGAAGTGGGGCCTACCGCAAGCACCACCGGCCGAGGGGAACCCGAGACATGGGGTCGAGGGCGCTAATGGTACGGGACGCGAGGCGCCTCAGAGGATTTCTCGGAAACCCTCGGCGCGGTATGCAGCGAGAAGCACTCTCGTTTCTCACTACTATTTCTCGTGGACTACGTAAGTGAGCAGTCTGTCGGTAGGTTAGTTTAGTTTAGGGGTACTTTTGGGTGGCGGGTGAAGAAACGCTAAGGTTGGCAGGGCTGTTCATGGCTACAACAAGGACGTGGTGAAGTGCCTGTAGCTTGAGTCCGGTCAATACTTTTGGCATCTGACAATTCCGCTCTGTTTCTGTTCTTTCCAGCGATAACGATGGCTAATAACACCCACCGTAGTCCTTGATTCTTGATTCTCCCGCTCTATGCCCGGTACGGTGGATCAGACTATGAAGGCATGAGGCAATTGGACCAGAAGGTCCCATCCGGACCTGTGCGGAAAGCTGACCAAGGCCAGTGATTGCTGCGTATGTAATTGTAACTCCTACCTCCGTATTGGAGGTGGAGCTTGAGGCCCCTGAGCAGTAGTCACGACACATACAAGAGTCAGGACAAACAAACCTTTGACTTGTTGACGCCTGAGGCGCAAGCAATTCTTCATCTGCCTCTTTGGGTTTATCCCAACTCCCCCAGCTTCAACCCCACAACTGACCAAGACCACACTCACTGGTCCACCGCGCAGCGCCCGCAGGGCCGCAGGTGCCGAGCCAACGAGCTTAGATAAGCCCCTATTTTGCGCTCACGTGCTCCCCCGCCTGAGCGTGATAAAGACCATGGGCATGGTAAGCAGCCCGCGGCAAAAATCCCCCCGTCTCGGCCGCGTTGTGCTAGGAGTATTCGCTGATGTCTCGGTTTCGCTGGCGGACCTCGGCATGTGGCAGCTGCACTAGCAGCCAGTCGATCTGCCCAGTTTACTAACCGTGCCCATCCCCCGTGCTTCGCCCAGAACGTCGACGCATCCCATCGCCAATAACAACTTTCGTGAGTTAAACAGTTGCCTCCCTTCGAAGCCCACCGAACTCCATCAAATCCACTCCGCATTTGACTGCATTTGACCGCATCCTCCGAAGTTACCGCTTGTCCCGAATTTCGATCTGATACTCTGCCTTCCGCCTCCAAAATGGTCGCCGACGCCGTCATCTACCATCCTTCGGTCGCACACTACCTCAAGTTCGTCGCCACGACTGTCGGTCGCGACAAGCTCCTCCGCACTCTCCAGTACTTCGCCCGTTTCTATGCCTGGTATTTGTTTCGCACCAATGGCTCCAAAACCGAGATCGCTCCTTGGGATGCCATCAAGAAGCAATTTGGCCTCACCCGCAAAATTATGCGCGTAGGCAAAAACGTCGAGCACTTCAAAGCTGCTGCCGTTGCTTCCGATGCCAAAACGATGGACCCTGTCCTCCGCTACGCCGCTGTTGGTCGTCAGCTTGGCTATGCCGGCTATCTGACCTTCGATGCCGCCACCGTTTTGGACGCGGCTGGCATTAGGAAATGGGAGGGCGCCAAGAAGCTTCAAAAGGAGGCCTATCGCTGCTGGGCCATTGGTTTGATCTGCAGTGTCATTGCCCAGTCCTACACCCTTTACCGTCTTCAGCAGCGGGAGGCCAAGGTCGACAAGAAGGAAGGTGAAGGTGTCGTTGAGGCAAAGAGAATAGCCATGTGAGTACCCCCAAGATGAACCCCCTCAGAAGCGTCTTTGGGATGTGAAGATTCGAAACCTCTTCGCGTTGGCAACGCGGCTCAAGCTAATCAATCTATAGTGAACGCGCTGGTAGCCGCCTCCAGCTCCTTTCTGACCTCTGCGACTTGACCGTCCCCACCTCCGCCTTGGCGTGGGCTAATTTTGACGATGGCATTGTTGGTCTCGCTGGAACCGTAAGCAGTTTGATTGGTGTATACACCCAGTGGAAGAAGACGGCGTAATCTTACTCTACGGTGACTACGCGCATGCATGTTTTTGCGCTTGGAGCGTGTTTTGATGGATGGGACGGCAAGAAGGCTTTCGAAAGTGTGTGATCTGGACATCCGATAATGGAGGGTATGTTGGGGCGTTCCGGTTTTAGCCAGTCAAGGTTGAAGGCTCAATTGCTACGGCAGGTACTTGTAGGCAGGGAATTTGGCTGTCAATTAAATGCACATTGTCAATGCGAACGCCATGGTCCTCTTCGATGCTTACTGGGCACAGTACTAGGCCCGACTCACCATCGTATAAGCGAATTGGAAGGGTGTAACAGGGGCGCAGGGCAAGGATTCATTATTTTTGGTCGGATATCCATGCGTGTAATCGTACAATATACATTCCCTTCTGGGGATTTCCACCTCGATTTTCTGCGACGCAACACTTCATTTTCTGTTGCCTCAAATCCCCGGATCCTACATGACTGGACAGCATAGACCAACTTTTCAGGCCCACGAACAAGCGCCATTCAAATCACATCCTTTCCTTCCTTATGGCCCAATGCAAACTAGAAGCGAGGACGCGGTCTCTGTATTGGAACATATTTTGGGCGCCTCCAGGATCTATTCAGAGTCAAGGACAGCCCCTTTGAGGCAAGTGTTTGAGCAGGAGATGAGTTACCAGTAACGGCTACCACGGTCATACTCGCGAGGGTACCCATCACGAGGGTACGCCCCATCTCGAGGAGGGAAGTCTCTCGGAGGACGGTCGTAGGGTCTGCCATTGGCATAGGGATCGGGTGGCGGAGGATAGTCTCGACGGTAGGGATCGTCATAGCGGCCTCGCGGTGGAGGGTAATCATCCATAGGGCGGCGAGGAGGGGATCGGTATCGAGCGCGATCATCGTAGTACTCTCGACGAGGGCTGCGCTCACGATAGCCGTCACGATATCCATCTCTGCGCGGACTGTAACCTCGTGGAGGGCCACGCCTATCGTAGTCGTCCATCGGAAGCGGATAAGGGCGTCGTCCGCCAGGCGAACGCGAGCGCGCGCCGCGGATGTCGCGAGGAGGCATATCGGGTTGAGTCTGATGAAGTGCGTCAGCTCTGTCAGACAGCGCATTTTCATTTACAGATTGGTAACCCACGTCGGCAACACAGGTGACACGATTTCCTTTGAATTCTCGGCCGTCAAGCTTCTCGACCGCAGTTCTCAGATCGGCTGCGGTCTCAAATTCAACGAAGCTGTAGAGTTCAGTCAGAATTTGCCAAGACCGCGGGAAAGGTGGCAGTTGACTGACCCTCGACCATTGCCGTCGCGGCCGGTCTCAGAATAGACGACATCGAGACTCGATTGACGGGCAAAATCTTTGAGATCCTATATCCAGAGTCCATGTAAGTTGGTGTCCAGGAGCGGTGGCATGGGCCGAAGAGGGTTGGAAGTCCGGAATTCAACGATCAGACAGCGTCCAGTCCGCGGTGGGAATAAAGCCGTCGTCGAGGCGGCCATCCCAAGGGTTTCCTTCCTTGTTCTGATAGGGCCAAGCCGACATAGAACCAGTCCTGACACGGCAATGCGAGTTCCATCCGAGCCGCATGGTCCGCGCTGGTATGTGGACGGCAGGAGGGTAGGTATCTGTGTGCCAAAAACTGCAGCACGTGCCGGGAAGTCCATCTCGCGGTGAAAGGGTCGCCAACGCGCCTCGCGCCAGCAAAGGGGGAGAGGGGAAAAGTCCAGGTGTCCAGCTTGAGAGAATGGGGAGAGATTTCAACAGACCTGCCAACTGGTATCGGTGGGAAGTCCCGTGATCTGCATCCGATGAGGAGTACGGCGAGGCCTTGGGGGAGCGCGCTCGTTGTTAAAGCCGCCGCCATTACCGCCCTCCCGATGCCGGGTTCCACGGGCAAATTGCACTGTTAAGCGTTCGCCCATAAAATCGGATCCATCTTTTAATACGATGCTATGGTTAGCGGTCCGGACCGGAAGAAGCAGATTGCAGTGTATCGACGCGCGAGAACATACGAAAAGCTGGACAGACAAGGAATTAGCGATCAAAAAGTGGCGCGACCAGAATGGATCAGCGTTAAAACACTTACCTGGGACTACATCACGGGCATCCATGGCATCTTTGTATTCAATGAAGCCGAAGCCGTTCATGAGCTTGATTTCAGTAATTTCGCCGGTGCCATGGGTGGCGAAGTGTGCTTCGACGTCGGCTTTGGTAGCTGGCGGGGCCAAAGGCGCATAGGTTAGCGATTTACTACCACAGCACGATGCATCGACGCCTTCGGGCGAAGTTGAACTAACCGGTTCGCGGGAGATTCCCCAGGTACAACCTGGTAGACGATACTTCGGTCATTTTGATGGGAATGCCTTGTCGAGTCTGTCGCGTGTAGAAGAGCAATCCAGATGCGCGGAAGCGGCCAAGCGAGATTCGCAGTAGCAGTTGCCACAGGCGTTTCAACGATACGGCCGAGTCCAAGAAGCGGCAATGACGTGGAGAATAGTAACGACTTGTGATCTTCCAGGTCGACCTATAGGCAAAAAGGCGATTGCAAGGACAGGAAAGAATAGCGCGGACGTATTCGTGCCAGTTTCCGAATGCCGACTAAACGGGGAAGACGGAAGAGAAATGCAGGAGCGAGGCGATGGGCTGGGCTGGGAGGGGAGAAGTTATGAAGGGTTCTAGTATCGACGTTACACCGGTCGGTCGAGCAGCGATTGGTCGGAATAGGGAGTGTTGTCGGGCACCTCTGTGAGCAGAGTACCTAGTAGTGTGTCCGCCTTGGGGGAAAGCTGCCGGTGGTAGGTGTCAAGAGGAGATGAGGTGAGGTGAGGGACGGGGTAGGAGCTGTTGGAGGAGAAGGAGGTAAGCTACCTAAGGTAATGTACTTGACGGTTCCTGGTGGCTGCAGTGCCGCCGCACCTGGCTCACCTGCGGTGTCTCGTGCTGTAATCGAGTTCCCGGGTAAGGAAGGTCTTGAGGCACTAGGGGAAGAAGATCCAATCAATTGTGGATTTGTAGCTAATTGGTAGGTAGATAGGGTTACTGTTAAATTAACGGGGTCGTTTTGTTAATTTGCCCGCGCTAGCCTAATTTAGCTGCCGCGCCACCGCCGCCACGATTAATCCACCCCTCTAAGTACTACCCTCTCGCGATACAACTTACTAACGTTAACGCTACCGACTTAGCTGAAAAGCTACCCCTACCCACATACGTAGCTGAGATTACTACTCTAAGGCCTCTATTACACTACCTATCTTCTAAGTATATTAAATTATTAATTTTCTTATATATCCTATATTAACATATAACATTCTTTTATAATAATAATAATAATATAAGAATAATAATAACGCTTAACTTATTTTAATATTCTATATAAAATAAATAAATAAAGTTTAAAGTATTAAACCTTATATAAAAATACTCTATTTATTATAACCTATAACTATAATATTAATTATATAATACGTATAGTTATATAAGCACTTTATATAATTAGTAGTTTAGTAGTTTACGTTTTAGATTATCTTTCCCCTCACTTTTCCCTACTAGAGGAGGAAACCTATAAGAAACAATAACTAAAGTTATTATAATATATTAATTCCCTTATTATTATCTATACGATTAAATGCCTATAAATGCTTAGAATTATCACCTTTTATTATAACATAAGCCTATTTATAACCTTATACTATATAGGTGTATATACCACACCCCTAAATACGCTTATACCTATACTAATATCCTATATTTTTTTAGAATTAAGGATATATCTAATACTTAGATCTAAACCCCTACCTTTAAGGAGTACTAGCTATACACCTATATCACTCTCTATACTAAGGGCTTCGCTATATATAAAAAGAGGACCTCTAATAGTAGTAACTAATATAATATTATATATAATTAAGAGGGTAAGTACGTTTTAACTATATTAAAAAGAAAAAGCTATACTAAGTAATATAACTATTAGTTTAAAGGTAAAATTTAATATATTACTACTATAGGGATCTAGGTATAAGAGGTCCTTAATAGCTTTAAATACTATAACTACCCTATTACTCCTTAAGTTTAGTTTAATATAGTCCTAGCTTTCTAAAAACTTATTATTAATAAGGTTAAATAAGCTATAAAGACCTCTAGTAACCTCCTAAAAAAAAACCTCTTTAAACGTATTAAGGAGCTCTCTATAGTAAATAACTTAATATTATATATAATTATAAACCTTCTTAAATAGAAGGACTATAAAGTTAGCCTATAAGATATATATAACTAGTAGTACTACCTCTAATAGAAAAAATATAGCTTATTATTATTAATTTAGTTCTTCTTTAATAAACTCACTAAGAGGTATAATATACCCTATTATATAGTTTAATATAGTAATAATAATAAGATTAATAGTATTTTTTAAATATATTAGCCCTACTTAGAGATATTAAAGAGAAACTTAGAACTATTAATAATAGATAATATATATAAAGTAAGTAATATATACTCTTATTACCCCCCTATTTATTATTATTTTAATTTTTTATTAATAGAAGTATAGAGTAAATTAATTAATTCTAAATATTCCTCTTTTAAGTTATTAGTCTCTCTATTATTAATACTATATTTAATATTAGCTTTTATCTTATTTCTATTAAAATTACTAAATTTTTCTAATAAGTACTACTCTAACTATATAAGTTTCTCCTTAAGAACTTTATACTTAACCTAAGTATTATTATTACTAATTTTAACGCTAGTTTAAAGTATACTACTAGGGATATATTTTCTCTCTTAAAGTAATAGTTCTATATATAGTATATACTTAAAAATATTACTTTAAATATTAAGAAAAAATAGATAGGCTTATAAGCCCTTAAGGGTAATAAGGTAGCTACTACTACTTTTAATACTAGTAATAATACTATTAAGCTTTAATTTTATACCTAAAGTTATAAGATTACTACTTAACTTATAGTAGAGGTAGTTATATACCTAAAAAGTGTTAATAAAGCCCCTACTAAAAAGGATTATAACTATAATACTAATAGCCTTATTAAGGTATAAAATATCTATATTTACTTATTAATATATAAAGTATATAAAAAAGTATAATAATATATTAAGTAGTAGTTTTATAACTAGCTAAGTATATATAGTTTTATAGTATTTAGATTAATACTAACTTCTTAGATATTCTTAAATACTTCTAGATAATATATATCCTATACTTTAAAGAGTTTATTAATTACTCTATATATTAACTTTAAAACTATAACTATAAAATAATATTACCTACTAAGGGTAGTTACTATAAATTAAAATCCTATTTTACTTACTACCTCTTTAATCTATATATTCTATATACTAAAATATTTAAGATAGTTATTAAGAAGTAAGAGTAATATTAAGTAAAGTTTAGTAATAAGGTTTATAAATAATATACTACTTAAAAGAAGTATAAACTTATTAATAGCTTTATTTATAATATTTCTTTCTAAACTTTTAAACTTCTTTATAATTAATATAATACTACTAAAGATATATTTAAGTAGTAGAGAAACTTACCTACTACTTATATTAGTACTTTTTAGAAGTAATAAAGTCTACTTTATTATTATAACTTATTAGATTAACTATATAGTAGTAATAATAGAGTTCTCTATATTAAAGATATTAATAATTATTAATACCTTAATTAGAGTAATATAAATACTTTAGTTTATTAATTATTAACTTTTTATTAATATCTTTAGTCTAAATTAATTAGGATTAAATAGTTTATCTTTAAACTTAACCTAAATATTATTCTAAGAAATACTTAATACTAATACTATAATCCTAACTCCTCTAATAATAAGGCCCCCCCTATAATTAACTTAAGTAATACTTAATATATACCTTCTATATAGGAAGCTTATAAAGCCTCTAAGAGGTTTATATTTATATTATAGGTTTTAGTAATATTAATACTAGCTATAAGTTAAATAGATAGAGGTAGTAGTAGAGGTATATATTAGAAATTAAAATAAATAATAAGTAAGATTACTAAGTTTTATAGTATAATAACTACTCTTATTACTTCTATTAAAGCTCTTACTAGCTATTAAACTCTCTATTAATAATAATAGATTAATATTAAGAGATTATATTAGTAATAAGAAGATATATTATTAATTTAATAAGAGGAAGATTTTTAGTATTAATATATATTTATTATATTATAGTAGTAAAATTAGCTTCTCTAGTTAAAATTACTACTATTACTATAATAATATATCTTTTTAATATTATTAATATAGTTATTATTATTAATATAACTATTAGAGTAGATTTAGCTACTATTAAGATTATAAACTTAGAGGTAGCTATAAGTAGTTATTAATATACTCTTTTATACTTATTAGAAATTATATAATATAATAGCTTTTTAATTAAAATTAATAAAACTAACTACTAAGCTTTAAATTATTTAAATCTAAGGAGTTTTTAAACTATTTAATAACTTAGTAAAACTCTAGCTAATCTAAGCTAATTAGAAAGCTAAGATTTAACTAAGTAGAGCCCTTTAAGTTTAAGTATTTAACTAAAGGTACTTATACTTAAAAACTTAGGTATATTAGACTTTAGTAGGATTACTATAGCGTAGCTATACTAACCTATTTAAGTGCCTAATTTAGTTAGATCGGGTAAATTAATAAAACGACCCCATTAATTTAATAGCTACTATAGATAGGAAGGTACCTTAGCTGCCTGACCTTGCGACCTGAGGTCCTGAGCTCCTTGCTATGGATACGAAGAGGAGAGGAGGAGGAGGAGGAGGAGGAGGAGGAGGAGGAGGAGGAAGTAGACAACAAGGAAAGGAAGGGGGGGGGAAAAAAAAAAAACACAAATTGGGATAGTGGAGCGACCGAAGAGCGACAAGCATGCATGCCATGCTCGGGGCTGAAGAGGGCTCTTCCCTGAATTCGTACCCGGTGTCTGAGCGGGCTTCTTGATCGATCCTGACCTTAGGATGACGGTTACTTGATAACCCGACAGGTAGCGCTGGTCAGGTCATTCTGATGAGTTACTTGTTATATCATATGCAACAATAATTCTCTTGTCTGACTGGATGCTTGGACGAAATTGACTGTCGACTGTTGATTAAGGTGAGGATAGCGTCCCCCCTCCCGTCCCCTGCCCTTGAGAACTTGGGGCAGGTACTTGGTGAGGTGGAACGATGAACCAGTGGACGAACGACCTGGGGAGTCTAGCTCTTGTATGGAAGGTAAGGTAGGGAAGGTCCCTCGTAGGCCAGGACATGCTTGAGAGTGCCAGGGTATATTAGCTTTTCATTGGCAGTCTGCGAGAGGGCCCCG